AGGGCTTGGTTGGAGGCTCGAGGGTGTTGGGGTTAATTCGGGTTTTGGGGTCCTGGCGGCGCTGAAGAGGCTTAGGATTCGACTCTTAACTCATCAATCAATGCCCTTCCCTCAACCACGGTAGTCCTTATTTAGGCCCAATTTGGGGTTTAGGATTTAGCGTTTATAGGGGTGAGGGTTTTTGTAGTCGCTATATGGTCGCCAATAATCGTCCCCATAATTCATTCCTCCATTCCCTGCCAAGCACAAGGGAGTAATTCAGATGGGCTAGGGCCGAACACCTGTTGTCTTACGGGCACAGGGTCAAAACCGACCACTTTGTAGGGCCTTAACCCTAAACCCCGGGCCCTGAACCCAAACCTGTTGACAACTAACTGGGAGTGCTTCAGGGGCTGGCAAGGTCCGGGTCTTGGCTTGCAGGCTAGAGGGTTTAGGTTTTCATGGGGCCTTTATCGGAGTTCATGAGGGTTTGGGGTTTGCAGTTAAGGGTTTGATGTCTAGGGTTTCACAGGATTTTTCCACATGTGGTTGAGGCTTACGGAGCTAAGGGTGTCGTAGGGTCTCGGGTTTAGGGTTTAGGGTATCGGTTGTAGGCTACAGTTTTTAACTCAGGGCCCTAGGTTTCTGCTTAAGCGATTCCGGACCCTCCCAAGCAGATAGCTGGGTTTAGCGTTGAGGGTTGGTGCTTAGGGCTTTACTTGGGGGGTAAATAGACACATGTTTCAGTTTTTGGTTATTATAATCCCTAAGAAACAGCTACAATTATAATTTCTGCTAGGGTTCTAAGTTCACTATAGTTTAGGGTGTATGGTTAATTGGTTTATGTAGGCAGGGCTTAGGGCCCTTTCTCTGAGGGTCCAAGTACATTATAATCATACTCCAAGGCTCCAAAGGACCCAATAATTAGGTACTTGGGTTTAGGATAGTAGTTATGTAGCTCAATATTTGAGAGAGCATATGATTATCAGGTACTTGGACCCTTAGGGATATACTTTCCCATGCATGTAGCTGCAAGACTACGATACAAAAGGCCCAAGTATGTAACTACTAGGTCCTTTGGACCCTAGGGCTAGGGCTCTGAACTTTTACTTCGACGCTGTTGGAGGTTCCCAGACCTTCCAAAATCCCTTAATTAAGCAATATACCTTAAATCATATTAGGGACCCTATTCTAATTTAAGGTATATTCCTTAATTAAGGGGTATTAGAATCCCCTAAACCTTATAGATCCCTTAAAGGAACCCTATAGATCCCTTTAAGGAACCCTAAGGTATATTCCTTAATTAAGCGGTTTTGGAAGGTCTGGGTTTCGCTACTGCCGCAGCCCGTTTCACACAGGCCCGGTGCTAAAGGCATCGAAGAGTCGTGTCTGGAGCTTAAACCTGACATTTAGTACCCCTTACCCTAAGGGTCCATGTACCCATATAGAGATACATGGGCCCCAATGTACCTATATAGGGACTACATTAAGGTCAATGTATATACTATATGAGTACATGGACCCTTAGGGTTAATCCCTGAACCTGCAAATCAACTACCAAATCCACCAACAACAACCCTCCATCCACAAGACCAACATACGAAATGAGATCTCTGAAACCAAGCACACAAGGCCCAAAGCTTGAAACACCTAGAGCTGAAATCAATTAATACATCTAGACCCATCAGCAAAATATGACCGTCAAAACGGGCACGCACCGACCCTTCACGCACCCTTTAAGAAATAGCGAAAGTAGCCAATATATTGATGCTCACAATGCCAACATGTTCCAAGTACACATGGTCACAAACCATAACGCTGAAAATATGAAACACGCCCCTTAACCTCAACCCCCTATACCCTAAACCCCAAAACCCTGAACCCTGAAACCCTAAACCTCTAATTCAACCGCTACTGCCTGAAACTATAGATCCCTGAACCCTAAATCCTACGGGTCCAAGTGCCTAGTAATCACAAAATCTCCAAAATGCTACCCTACATAATAACTACTATCCTAAAACCGAGTACCTAATTATTGAGTCCTTTGGACCTTAAAACCCCAATACTTATAACCCTAATAACAACCCCTTATCGAACCCTTGTAGAACCTTCTAGGAACCCTAATGATTGGGTCCCTTAGACCCGCAGGGTAATCCCTAAGCTCAAGCTTGAGCCTAATTATTGCCCTAAGCCCTAAGCCCCTAAACCCTAATCTCCTAGACATTAACCCCTAACCCTAATTTTTGGGTCCTTTCGACTCTTATAACCCTAAACCCTAAACCCTAAACCCTAAACCCTAAACCCTAAACCCTAAACCCTAAACCCTAAATCCGAAGCTTTGAGCCGAGCCGATCCGACATCCGAGCAGCTATGGCACCCAGGGCTGCAGCACCGAGGCCTTCAGTTCAGGGCTGCAGGATTTCAGGATCTACCTGGACCCTAAGGAACCTACCTTTTTAGGGTTCCTTAATATGATTTCTTTATATAAATCCTTAAAAAGGTAGGTTTTTCCGGCTTAAGGTAGCCCTAAGAGTCCAAAGGACCCAGGTACGTGGGTTTAGGATAGTAGCTATGTAGGGTCGTAGGGGAAAGTATATGAATATTGGGTACTTGGACCCTTAGGGTAGGGTTCAGAATTTAGGGTTCTGTGGTTTATAAGGTTTCAGGCATTGGGGTTTAGCGTTTTGAGGTGTTTTGGGATTTAGGTTTGTGGTTTATAAGGTTTTGGGGTTTAGGGTTTTAGGATGTTTTGCGATTTGGGGCTTATAAGGTATCTTATAAGGTATAGGGTTTATAGGGTTCAACCAGAATCCTTCACAGGGGCCTGGATCTCCTAAGGTCCTAAACCCTAAACGCCGAAGGCTACGCCCGGAACCCTCAACCCTAAGACCCAAGCCCTAAATCGTGAAGACCCATAAACCCCGAAGCCCGAAATCCTAAACCCTAAGCACAAAAGCTGACACAGCTTTTTCAGGCGGGGCGTCGCTCCGCTTCGCCATCCCGATCTGCCGGTGTTGGCGAGTGCTTACATCGCAGCAGGCGCCTTTGAGGGCGCAGGGTTCAGGGTTCTGTGTTTAAGGTTTACGGTTTAGTGTTTCAGGGTTGAGGGCTGAGGGTTTAAGAGTCCGAAGGAGCCAGTAGTAAGGGCTACTCTGACTAAGGGTTCTGTATGGGTTTGTTTAGGCTTTCAACGCTCCATGGGTCCAAAAAAGGGTTCAGGGGTTAGTATACAGTGCAGGTTGTATCAGGGGCTTTCATGCTGTTATATCGTGGTGTTCAAAGGGTCCAAACGGCCCAGGAATAACCATGTGAGATATGTTGTGCATTCTCTGTTATCTGTTTTATACAGCACATCATATCACATCATGTGCATGTTCTCACGGGATGGCCCAAGTTCATCCTGTGTCCCCTGACATGTTCCCGGCAAACCGTGACATTTTGTAAGTAAGTTTAGCTACTATTTGCTTAAGAACCCACAAAAAATAAAAATATATTCCTTATAGGGATAATATAGGGATTATTATTTTTTTGGGGGGGGGGTCTCTTAAGCAAATAGTAGTCTAAGCTCCAAAACATAGTAAAGCAAATACCCGAAACCCCCAGCTCCCAGCCGACCCTGAACCCCAGACTCTAAGCTCTAAATGCCCTACGACCAAAACCCCAAACTCTGTACCCAGAGACTCCAACATCCCTTATTAAGAGTATACCATAACTTCGAGTAGGATCCCTAGTATGATTTAAGGTACATTCCTTAATTTAGGGATATCGGAGTCTCTGGGCTGAGCTCAGGCCACGTTTGCATCCAGAGGCTCGGTCCTCAGCCGCGGCCCCCGCAACGACTTTCCCTCACAGCCTCTGACTCCTTCGCCTAGTATATGTGAGAGTTTCCGAAAATTTGGGGTACCTTGTTTTGGGGTCCCGATAATAAGTGGTTAGCGTGCACTTGGCCTACCCAGGGGCACCATAAGGGACTTAAATCCACAATGGTAGTATATTTGGAGCCCTAAACCCTACACCCTAAACCCTAAACCCTATCCTTAGGAGGCTCCAGAATCTCCCAGGGAGGGCCCTTGATTGGAAAGCCGGTCTTACAGGGTTCCTGCTCGTTTAAGGGTTTAGGGTTCAGGTATCTCCTTAGGCCCAGAATCTCCTAGGGAGAGTCCTTGAGTCTCCTTGAAATAATTGTCAGAAATCCTGCGTACTGAGGTTCCCAAGTGTGTTAGGACCTGCAGGGTAGTATAATTCGAGTAGGGAGCCCTTATCCCAACCCTAAACCCTAAACCCTAAGCCCTAAACCCTAAACCCTAAACCCTAAGCCCTATAAACCCTAAACCCTAAACCCTAAAGGGCCCTAACAAGTGGCGGAGCCTCCAACTTGAGGGTTTCTGAGGCCCAAAGAGACCCAAGCTCTCCCTAGGACATTCCGGACCCTCCTATGGTGAAAGCCAGAAAGTTGGAATATGATTGTCCGAACCCTTCTATGGTAAATTATAGGGTATCCTACCATGAAACCATATTCCAACTTTCTGGAGTTCCCTGTAAGGAGATACCTGGACTCTTAGGGTAATTAGTTCCCTCACAAAATGAAAGACATGATCCCTGCCCTTTGTACACACAGCAGACGTGAGTTTCATGCAGCCCTGCGGTTCTCAGTGAAAAGTTGCATGGTAGCGGAGCACGCTACGTGCTCCAGGGCCCTTTTAGGGATAGGCCCGAGAACTCAAAGGTCCCTTTGGTTTCACCGCATAATAGCCCTCGCCGCTTGTGGCTGCACTTTGCTGTGCCCACACTTTTTCTTGGAAGGCTGTAGCTTCGCTACCCTCCCACAATCCTACAACGTTTTCCTCGTAAGTCCCCCTGGTGCTGGGGCAGAGCCGGAGTACGCTTTTGAAGGCCCAGAGCGGTCTTGGAGCAGAGGTTTTCTCAGTGCGTGTGAGGTGGAGCGAGGCGAGTGGAGCAGTGTATTTTATTTGGGTGTTGGTCTGGACTTTTGCTCTGGCTGGTTTCAACTGGCTGGTGCAATGGATGCCAGTATGGATGTTCAGCAGGCAGCCGCCCAGCAGGCGGCGCAAGCGGCAGCTGCCCAAGGGGCAAATCAGGCGCAGCAGCAGGAAGCTGCCCAGCTGGCGGCCCAAGCGGCAGCGGCAGCCCAGGCGGCAACGGCTGCCCAAGGAGTGCAGGCGACAGCAGCAGGGGCCGCAGAGATCGACCGGATCGTGCGGCAGAGGATGGAGCAAGCCTTTCAGGGCGTTTTTGGGCGCCTTCTGGAAACAACCCAGCAGGCAGCGAAGGCTGCCGAGAGCCAAGCGGTGAGCCATCGGAACGACAGCTTGGTCAGGGCTTTGAAGTGCGACCAGTGGAAGCCCAGCTCGAGAGAAGATGAGTTGAGAACGTGGAAGGAATGGTGGTTTAGTTTTTCGAATTTTGTTATTGCCCACGACCCGGCGTATGAGCAGGACTTTGCAGATCTTCTGGACTCGGAGCATGATACCTCTCATGCCCTTCTGGACACCAAGACGGTGGAGCGCAGCCAGCGCTTGTATGGGCTGCTGTGCTCAATGGTGAAAGGCAGGCCTTTGCTGCTTATAAAAGGGGCCGAGGTCACAAAGAATGGGCTGGAAGCAGTGCGCATTTTGCGCAACGCCATGGAGCCGAAGGAGAAAGCAAGGAGCCTGGCGATTATGCGCCAGTTAGCCTCGTGGCAGTTCTCTGGTGGAAATCTACATGAGCAGCTGGTGAAATATGAGGAAGCCTTGAAGACTTACGAAGCTGCCTCGGGGAAGGAATTTCCTCCCGAACTGGTCCTGGCCACGGTGGTCACAGGGCTCAAGGAGCCCCTGAGGTCACAGATCCAGCTGCGCATGGGGCCCAAGACCACATACCAGGATATCCGGGAATGGGTGCTACAGCATGAATCCTTGAACTCCCCGTGGGCGACTTCCCTGGGGAAGGCGAGCGGCTCTGGCTATGATTCGGGTGGCCCGGCTCCAATGGACATTGACCGGATCGAGAAGGGCAAGAGCAAGGGAAAGGACAAAGGCAAAGACAAAGGAAAGAATGGAAAAGGCAAGGGCAAAGACAAGGGCAAGAAGGGCAAGCCTGGAGATGGAAAGGGCTGGCAGAGTCAGCCATGGACCGGGCAGGGAGGAGGAAAGAGCTGGCAGCAGGCCGGCAGCTGGGGCCAAGGTGGGAAGCAGGGTGCTGGAGGAGGAAAGGGCAAGAAGCTCGACCCGAGCTTGTGTGCTATCTGTTGGCAGCGCGGCCATTGGAAAAACGAGTGCCCCAACAAGGGCAAGGGCAAAGTGAACCAGATCGAACAGGGGCCGGCAGCCAGCAATGTGCCCTCTTCTGCCTCCTCGGCGTCTACGGCGGCCTCGACTCTTCCCTCTTCGGCTTCTGCCCTGCGTGGTGTTCAGCGTGTTGAGCTTGCTGGGTTTGCAGCTGAACCTGGCTTCTCGGTAGCTGAGGTTTTCGATATGAGCGAGCTAGATGATTGGGATGTGTTTGGCAGCGGCGGCCCGCAGGTGATGATGATAAAGGGGCACCTCGGCATTGAGTATGCCAGTGGCGGCCTCGTGGCAGGCGGGGCGGCCCATGCTTTGCTAGAGGGTGTCCCGCACTTCGCCATGGACGCTTCCGACAAGGACGGGGAATGGACCTACGAGCCAGGCCTTTCCTGCGGCGTGCTGGCCCTCGAGACCATTCCGGGCAAGGAGGATGTTGAGATCGTCATCGACAGTGGGGCTGATGTATCTGTTGCCCCCTTGTGGCTGGGAAAGAGCGGATGCAGGACGCCCAGGGAAACCCGATCCCCGAGGTCCAGACGCGCCTCCTTGATTTGGAGGTTCCCACGTCCACCGGTGAGACCGTCTGCATCCGGGAGAAGTTCAGCATTGCCCGGATCTCCTCGGTGATCCTCTCTCTTGGGAGGCTGCTTAGGTCCGGCTGGGAGCTTGGAAGTGGAAGCCAAGGACCCCTCCTTTCGAGAGGCGGACACCATGTGCCGATAAGGCTGAGGAGGAACACCTTGATTGTGGCGGCGACGGTCTCTATGGTGGTGGCAGCCGGGCTGGAAGCGCCCCTGGAGGCGAAGGCAGCCAGGCCAATCAATATGCTCACGTTCGACGACCTGGGCCCTTTGCCAAAGGAGGTGGAGGCCTGTGCACGGCGGCCGGGGTGGCATGTGCTGCCGAGTGGGCTTCCCCTTCTGGTCCAGCACAGGGTGACGGAGCTTGAGTTTGAGCAAAGCCTTTGGTCCCAACAGGACTGGCCTTGGCTGGCGATTTTCGCTAGACACGAGGCTGCCGACCGACTTCCTCAAGAAGGTGATGTGTGGCTTCAGGTGGCGACCATGGCGACCGAGCAGTTTGAGAATGCCCCTAAAACCCTTGTGGATATGGACCCGGACCTCGATGGGCCAAGGGATGTGATGATGCTTCTGCACGTGGAGCAGCTGCCCAAAGACCTTTTGTCCTCTCCCCGCGACTTCTTCTGCGAGCCGGCCGACGACAATTCGAACCAGCCGGTTCCCGTGCAGGATGATAGCAGCGGCGTGGGGGTCCTGCCTGATGAGATTGCCTTGCAGGAGAAGCCGACCGAGGAGCTTGAAGATGAAGATGGCGAGCCTGAGCTCGAGGGCGTGGCGCTCAATGTTGGCACCCCTTTGCGTGAGCTTCGGGCTTTGTGCAGCAAGCTCGGCTTAAGCTCTAGTGGTGGAAAGGACAAGGTGCTGAGGCGACTGAAGCTTCACCACGAGGTCCTGGAGAAGCAAATGGCCAACGAGATTGCTCGGAAGATGTTTGCCGAGCAGGAGCGCGAGCCCACTATGCCAAAGACCCCGGTGTTGCCGTCTAGTAGGCAGCAAGAGCTGCACAACGTCACGCACCACCCTTTTCAGCCATGGTGCGAGGCATGTGTTATGGGACGCAGCAAGCAAAGCCCCCATAGCAAGGCCGGTGGCCAGATGGAGGGCGAGGAAGTTGCGCCCGACGCCCGCGTGCACCCGATGATCCAGATCGACTACGGGTACACCTTCACGCGCCACCGGCACGAGGTCGAAGCTGAGGGGGATCAGGAGAAAGCCGAGCCGGAGGAGGATAAAAGCAATGAGCCCAATCAAGAAGGAGAAGCAGATGATCCTCGTGACCAGTTCGGCTTGTGCCTTGTGGGCGTGGAGACAACTACGGGCTGGGTGTGCTCTATCCCAGTTCTTGAGAAAGGTGCCCGGTCACTTAAGAGAGTGACGGAGCAGCTCGTGCGACTAAGCCTCCAAACTTCACCGGGGGACACCGTCACCATTCAGGGCGACCCGGAGGCATCGATCAAGCAGATTGTGAACTCTTTTGAGACTTGCAGGGCCAAGCTTGGCCTAGCTACGAACAAGAGGTTGGTGCCAAGGGGGTCGCACAGCTCGAACAGCTACGTGGAGAAGGCCATCGACACTGTGAGGCGCAACGCCGTGACTCTCAAGGCCTTCTTGGAAAGCCGGATCGGGGCAAGCATCCCTGGCAGTGCCCATGTGTATGCTTGGTTCTTCAAGCACAGCGCTTTTTTGTACAACCGGTTCCATGTCGGGACCAAGGGCGGCACCGCCCATGAAGTGATGTTTTCAAGGCGCTACAAAGGCCAATTGGTTCCCTTTGGTGAGCTCGTTATCTTCTACAAGCACTCCCCTCACAAAGGAGACCTCCAGTGGCGAAAAGGCATTTGGCTTGGGATCAATGAAAGGAACAATGCCCATGTTTTGGGCACGGCGGAAGGATGCTTTGAATCTCGGAGCATTCGCCGGGTTCCTGAGGAGGAGAAGTGGAACAGCTCAATGGTGTTGGGAGTCAAGGGCTTTCCCTGGAGTTACCAAGGCCAGCACCGAAGGAAGAGGCCCCTCTACACTGGAGCTCGTTCTGCGGTACCTCTCCTTCCAGACAACGCCACCTTAGAGGAGCTTGCGCGGGCTGCCGGGCACGCGGCTGCTGAGGCCATTGCATCCCGGGTGCCGGTGGACGAAGCGGCGTCTGACCCACCGTCGTCGAGCTCTTCCTCCACTACAAGCTCAACCCCTTCGAGCCGCAACGCCGGGAACCAAGGAAGCAACCAACAACAGCCACAGCAAGAACAAGGGAATCAGCAGCAGCCGTCGGGTGCCATTGTGGGCAGCCAGCCAGGAGACCAAGGAAGCAGCCAACAACTACAGCAAGAACGAGGGAATCAGCAGCAGCCGTCGGCCGTTTTAGTTGAGCAAGGTGGCACAGGTGGTCCAGTCCAAGAGCAAGGTGGCACAGGTGGTCCAGGCAACTTGCCCCAGGAAGCAATGGACGTCAGTGGTTCAAGTCCTTCGCGCACGGAGCGGCCAGCAGCCACAGGGGAGGGTCACTCTAAGAGGCCCCGACTCTTGCTAGACAAGCCAAAGCCTACCACGGGTGTTGCTGTTTCTTTGCCACAGCCAGCAGCCAGTTCGGCACCTACCTCTCCGAGTGCCGGCCTTTACCCTCCAGGCTTTGCGGGTGTGATGCAGGTTCACGGCGACATCCCCACTGAGGAGCTTGTGGGCTTTGAGGGCTGGGACCCCGACCTCCTCAACGAAATGATCAGCGAAAGCGAGCTGGCCGGCGAGTTCTTCGAGTCTTGGTGGGACGAGTTTGCAGAGAAGCCCCCGCAGCTCAGTGAGGCCGAGCTCTCCCAAGTCGATGCAGAGGCTGACAAAAGGGAGATAGAGCGACTCATGTCCATGGGGGTCCTCAGGCACCAGCGCCATGATGAGGACATCTCTGGGTACCAGTCCCTTACAACGAAAGTGGTCCGTGATTGGAGAAAGAGACCGGGATGGACACGAAGGTCGCGACTGGTGGGGCGAGAGTTCAAAACCATGAGCCCCTACACCCAGGAGCTCTTCGCTCCAGCGTCAACTCTTGGAGCAACCCACGCTTTCATCGCCACGGCTCTGAGTCTGGGCCTTCAGCTCGCCACCTTTGACTTTAAAGATGCATACCTTCAGGTGGAGCAGCCGACCCCGATGACGGTCGAAATCGACGGCAAGCTGTTTGGCGACCCGGAGGGGGGCTCTCGGACAATGGTTCTGGATCGGTTGTTGCCAGGCCAAAGGATTGGAGCCAGCGCCTGGTACCTCTTCGCAAAAGACCTCTTGAGAAAGGCCTCCTTGACAAACTTCGAGAAAGAACCGACCCTATTTAGGAGCACCGTTCCCGGGAGCCAGGCTGGAGTTGTGCTTCATGCGGACGACGGGCTCCTGGCATCCACCGAGAAGGAGAGAAACTTCTTAAAAGGTCTTCTGCGGGAGAAGGTCACCGTGGAGTTCATTCAGCCCCTCCTGAACGTTGGCGACGAGCTTGAGTTCTTGAAGCGCAAATATGTGATGATGGAGAACGGCATTGCTGTGTACTCGAACGGTCGCTATGTTGAAGCACTCCTTGGTGCTTTGGGACCCAAGCTCCGGGGCCGAGACAGCCCCAGTGACCAAAGCTTCTTGGAGCAGGACACGACCACCGAGCTCACAGCCCACGAGTGCAAAGTATATCGGGAGGCTGTTGGGCGGCTCCTCTACCTTTCCCACACAAGGCCTGACGTGCAGTTTGCAGTTTGTGTGCTCAGCTCAAAGATGGCATCCCCGACCAAAGGAGCTTTCAAATGGCTTCAAAGAGTGGTTGGCTACTTGGCCGAGTGCCCGCCCATCGGTTTCCTCATCAAGCCGATCAGTGGCAACGCTTGTGTTGGTTACGACCCGGGAGAGCGATTAGTTCCTGGGTCCACCATTGTGGTCGAGGCGGTGACGGACGCTGACTGGGCAGGCTGTCGGAGGACCAGAAAGTCCCACACAAGCATCCAGCTATATGTTGGTGGGAGTTTGCTGAGCTCTATGGTGAGGTCGCAAAGGAGCATCGCCCTCTCAAGTGGAGAAAGCGAGTACATCGCTTTGGTTGCAGGTGCAGCCGAGGGGATCTACTTGGCGGACTGCGTGCGCTTCTTCGTGAATGGTGCCTACGAGGTTGAACTCAGGAGCAGGACTGACTCCTCAGCCTGCAAGGGCATCACGCAGCGCTTAGGCTGTGGACGCATCAGGCACATTGCCTGCAACATGCTATGGGTCCAGCAGTGTGTGAAGCAAGGGATCCTAAAAGTGGCAACGATCCCTGGCACTGCCAACCCAAGCGACCTTGGAACCAAGCCCCTGAGTGGAAGCCGCATTCGCGAGCTTCTTTACATGATGGGGGCTGTGCTTCCAGACGGCTCTCCCTACGGAGGCCAGGACAAGGAGCTTGCTGACCAAAAGAGGGAAATGGCACGTGTGATGAAGGAGCTCAAGAATGACGGCCACCGCGTGTCCCAGATCAAGGCGCTTATGCCGATCCTCCTCATCATGTCGCAGGTCCAGCAAACGCAGGGCTTGAGCCTGGCAGCCCCTTTGGTTGCCATGTGGGACACCGAAACTCTCTACTCAATGGCGGCTACGTTGGGAATAACTTTGTTGACTTTGGTTGTGTTCTTTGGGCTCCCCTACTCCCTCCTGAAGTTCCTTAAGTGGTGCTTTAGGACATTTTCCTGGAGGCCAGCAAGGTGCAGCACCGGAAGCCAGACCGAGCGTGCAAGGCCAGTGGTGCAAAGTTGTGGCCCAAAGGTGAAGAGCCAGAAGGAGAAGGACCAAGAAAAGTTTGCAGAGGAGTATGTGAACCGCTACACAGAGCTACAGCAGATTTTCAGCGAGAAGTGCCGAGAAAACGAGATGATGGAAAACATGCTGTATGAGTTGCGCACTGAAAACAGGGCGCTTCAGGAAGCTCTGAGGCGAGCCGAGGAGAGACGCACACCGCCAGAGCGGATATGCGTGGCTACTAGCAGAGGCGAACGGTACCATCGCCCAGGATGCGGAAATGTGCGTAGGTCTAACAGTGTGAGATATTTTACACCTTGTCAAGCATGCCTTGGGTGATGCAAGACCGGATCGCAAATATCTGTACAGATTTTCAGAAGATGGTGCGGCATATGTGCCATAGCGGCACATGCTGCCGAGGCGGGGTGAAAGACATGATCCCTGCCCTTTGTACACACAGCAGACGTGAGTTTCATGCAGCCCTGCGGTTCTCAGTGAAAAGTTGCACAAAAAAAAAGGACAATTCCCCCAAACCTCCTCTTCTTCTTACTAGGGGCCCTATCTCCAGCCCTACAGTGTAAGAGGCCCAAGGTGTCCCCTCTTCTTGGGCCCCAAACGCAAGCCCTGCAGTGTTACTGTAGATGCGTGAGTCTGCCTGTACTTTTGTGTGGACTTGTCCCTTAAAGGAACCATTCTGAAAGAGACTTGTATACTTTGTCTCCCTGCTTACTTCAATCCCCAGCGAGGTATCTGGAGGACGGCCGGGATTGGAGGAAGGTGTCGCCGAATCCTTGGCCTTTACTTAGATAGCGAACGGTGGAAGTTTAGTCTTTTTGGTCTTATATATTAGCTTTATGATTGAAAGTTTGAGCTTTGTTGGGCCCGGTTGTTGAAGAAGAAAGTTTAGTGATGGATACCATGTTTCCTCGGCACAAGTGAAGTTTACACGTTTAAGAGGGTCTTTAGCACCTTTAGAGTTTAGGGTGAGCTACTATTCTTAGATCGCCCATGTGAGACGTTTTGGACTATTTTGGCCTTACATGTTTGGTTTGTCTTCGTTTGAACTTTTTTGCGAGCGGGTATTCAGGAAGAAAGTTTCGGGTGCAGGGTTAATGGTGCCCAAAGACTCCAACACCCACAACACCCCTGATAAAGCAGTATGCCTCAGTCAAAGCCCTTGCAAACCCGATTACCGATACCTGGGGATTCAATATCCTTTTGTAGTTTCTTATTGGCTGTAAACTCAACTTTTCAACTTTTGGGGTTCTTATAAGGTAGTCGATTCTGAAAGTTTCAACTGTTATTTCCTTGGGTTTTGGGCTAGTGAGAAAACCCTAAACCCTAAACCCCTAAACACTAAACCCCTAAACCCTAAATAGGAAAAATAGAATCCAAACCTAGGGTTTGGAGTTGCAGGCAGATCCGAGTCTCTCGACCTCAAATCCGGGACCTAAACTTTGGCCTCAACGTGAGACCAACCCTTGACCCTAGACCCTCTAGTCTAATCACCTTTTCATCAACTGCACGTCCCATGGTCCCATAAGCATGTACCCTGAGTTGTATACCCTGCGGTCTCTGAACCCGAGTCGTTTAGCACCGCAAGTGCTACCAGGGGCTCAGCTGCCTCCATAGCAGCCTGAATCCTAAACCTTGAGTACACGGCTAAACCAGAAACATAAACTCGATAATCTACATCCCAAACCCCAGCCGGCGCTGCGTGCGGCGCGCACCGCACAGCTGGCGGCAGCGCGGGCGACCTGCGGATCCACGGCGGATTCTGTTTCTCTACTGACGTCATTCGTTCCTCAGTATGCAACCATGAAACTGCTGTGCAGGTGTGTGCATGTGTTCCAAAGCGGTCAGCCTGTCACGCTTCGTCGTCAGGAGGGGATGGAGGCAAGCCTGCCAAGCGCCGTCACTTCGCGGATCGTGCCCTCACTGCGACAACCCTAAACCCTAAACCCCAAACTGCTTAAACCCTAATCCCTAAACTACCTAAACCCTAAACCCTAATCCTTAAACCACCTGAAGGATGAGCACGATCTGGCCGGATTGGACCCAGATGGGAGTCTCCGAAACTAGGGGACCCTGATATAGTACACTATATATTAGAAGCTGCCCCGCGCCCTGTAATTGTGGTATAAGAGGAATATAATAGGGCCCTAATATAATCCTATATAATCTTTATGGTCACTATTACAGGGTCGAGGCAGCTTCTAAACTATATAGTAGGATCCTAAAGAAGCTAGGATGCTCAGTAGTACCCTTATTCCCTTTTTGTAGTCCTAGGTTCCTTGTAAAGTTACCCAATACCAACAAGAGAGGCCTTTTTATTCTTAGGTTACTGGGTATCCTAGTATAATAGGATCCTAAAGAAGGTACCCCCTGTTTCGGAAACTCCCAGATGACGTTGGAGTTTCCGAAAATAGGGGACCCTAATCTAGCACCCAAAATAGTAGGATCCTTGCACTAAGGACCCCAGAATAAGGGGCCCCTAATTTTCGGAAACTCCCACGTTGAAGTCGAGGAGTTCACAAGTCTGGAACTCTACAGTCGCTTTAAGCTTGGTAAAAATTTGAACCTTTTGGGGCTCAAAAAACTCCGACCATAGTTGACAAAGGTTGACGTTTTGGGGGGCCAGGCTATGCATCCCCTAAACCCTCAACCCTAAACCCTAAAACCATAAATCCCAATAAAACCCTAAACTCTAAACCCTTAAACCCTAATTAATTACCCTAAACCCCACACCCTAAACCCCAAACCCCAAACCCCAAAACCCTCATCCTAAGGTACTCAGCCCCTAAGCAAAGCCAACCTTTCGAGGCCGCTAGAGATCCAGCGCCAGCTTCGGGCCTGCGACCTGCCTCTCTGGAGGCCCTGAAGAGTAGGGTTTAGGGTTTAGGGTTTAGGGTGTAGGGTTTAGGGTTTAGGGTTTAGGGTCCTTGAAGAGAACCTAGGACCCAGAGTAGGCCCTTATTCCCTTTTTTTAGGGTTCAGGTTCCCTTATAAACCCCTTTAAACCAAAAAGGGCACCCTTTTTATTCCTGGGTTACTCTTAGGTCTAGGAACAGTCAAGGACTGGAGAGTGTCTAGAAGAATAACTTAACCCCAAATAACCTACCTTTTTACGGACCTATATATGTAAAGAAATCATATTGGAGAACCCTTAAAAAAAGTAGGTTATTTGGGGTCCAGGGTCTAATTGGAGGGTCGGGGGACATAGTAAGTAGGTACATTATAAGTAGAGTTCTAAGTACCCTAAAAGGGATCCTAACTGGGGTTATGGTACTTATTACTCTAAAAGCTAACTACTTAGCAAGTCCCCCGACCCTGCAAGTAAGGGTCCCTGTACCGAAATGCCATATACATTGGCCCCAGAGTACCGATATATGGATTACTTTAAGGCCCAAGTATATACTAGTTTGGGTACATGGGCCCTTTGGGTTTCTCTAAGGTTTAGAGTTCTTTAAGGATTCCTTAAAGCGTCCTTTAAGGAGGTTTAGGGTTTTTTAACGGGTCCTTTAAAATGTAATCGTTAGTTTAAAGGGGTCTATAGGGTTCCCGTGACGGGTTCTCTGGAGGCCCTGCTTCCATTAGCGGGTTCAAGGTTTAGGGCTCTTGGGTTTTGGGTTGTAGGGCTTAGGGCTTTGGGTTTAGGGCTTCAGGGTTTTAGGTTATAGTGTTACAGGGTTATCAGGGGTTTGGGGTTTATCCTTATGCTACAGGGTTATAAGGCTACAGGTTCCTCTCTGGAGGCCCTGTTTACTTTATGTTGTCTTTCAAAGGTTCCTTTAAAGGGGTCTGCTCTGTTTCCGTACGGTCCTCTAAAGGGTCCAAAGTCTCTCAAAGGGTTAGGGTTATAAGATTATATAAGGCTACAGGTCAACGGGTTCAAGAGGAGGCCCTGTTTCCTGTAAGGTTCAGGGTTGTTTACAGGGTCCTTTAAGCGCTCGTTTCACGTATTCTATAGGAGTGTTGTCTTTTTGAGGGGTCCATAGGGTTCTTTTCACGGGTTCTTTGGTAAAGGGTTTAGAGTTTAGGGGTTATAGGACTACAGGGTCCTCTCTGGAGACATTGCAGGGTCCAAATTGCCTATAGACTAGAGTTGATGGTAGTAAGTGTTGCCATGCAAGGTTTCCGAACCGTCCTTCCAAAGGATTCAGGCTGCAGGTTTGAGGGCCCATCTTCCTGTTCAGTAGTGACTTTACTGATTGCTTGTAAACTCAACTTTTCAATTTTTGGGGTTCTTATAAGGTAGTAGATTCTGAAAGTTTCAACTTTTGTTTCCTTGGGTTTTGGGCCAGTGAGTTTAAGGGTTCGTCCTTGAGGATTCGAACAGGGTTTCTATAAGGGCTTAGCCACCATGGGGGTGTATAGGATTTGAGGGTTTGGTTCCTTAATAGGTTCCTTCGAAAGATTCCTCACTGCATTTGTCTAAAGGGATCGGGTTTAGGGTTCAAGGTGTAGGGTTGTTGAGGGTTCAGTGTAGAAGGTGTAGGTGTCATTTGTTTTGTTGGTGTAAGGTGTTGGTGTGTTTTGCTTGCTGCGATATTTTGGGTTCTCTGCTTGGTGGCCATGTTGTTAAAGACTATTGTAATCGATGGCTGCTGTTGTTTTCCGTTCTGGGATTGCTCCTACCACTGTAGTTGTTGTCGCTGCTTCAGTGAGCAGGGAGGCTTAGGTTTGGATCATGGGCGCTTGCCTACTGACGTTCATGTTGTCCTTGTGGTCCAGTTTCGACACTGCGTTTGTTTTGTTGGGGAATCAAAGCGGACATGACGGCAATCCAACAGGACGAGTATGTCAAAGTTTACGCAGACGCCCCTGCTGCAGACGGTTTTGCAAGGGTGAAGAAGCTGGGCGGGTTGACTTGCTACGACCCTGCCTCGCTTTGCCTGGCCGGGCTACGGATCTGTGAGTGCGTCAGAAATAAGGGATCCGACCCCTATCACCAGAAACTGACCCAGACCCGTAGTACTCCGAACCCCGCAGCCTACAAGGCGTCCGAAGGGTGGCTCAGCTGCATGAAAATTCCGACAACATCCGAAGTGCAGGGTTTATTAGGGTTTAAGGATTAGGGTTTAGGCTTTAGGCTTTAGTTTCGGGTATAGGTACAGTTTAGGAGTCACGGTTTGCGATTTAGGGTTTAACATCCTAAGGCTTCGGCTCACAGCGTCCTAATATGGGGGTCTTAATACTTACCTAGACTAGTTTGAGGCTTTCCGATTATAGTTATAGTATACTGGTCCCCAAAACCCTATTCTAGGCTTGAAAGCCTCTGTACTAGGGTTGACAACGTGTGCATTAAGTTTCGGGTTAGTTTAGGGTGCGGGAAGGTGATTTAGAGTTGGTTTTCACCGAAACGATCACGTCTGGTATGCAGGGGTATATGTAAGAGGTAACTATGTTTATAAGAGGTAACCATGCTTATAACCTATAGTTATGTACCATCCCAACTAATTAAGGTGTACCTACATCCTTGCTTATCCTCCAAGTAGAAGTCCCGAGTTCAGCATTCGTTCTCTCTGGGGTTTTAGGGTTTAGGATTTCGAGCATTTCTAGGTCTTCCAGTTTGGCACTTTAGGCCTTCGGGTCCGGGATTTCGGGTTTACGGAGGTAGGGTTGAGGGTGGTTAGAATTCAAGGAGACGGGGGTCTTGTTTAGGGCTTCGGAAATCCGGCTTCGATTGGTGTTTAGGCTAGAAGCTGCCCCCACCCTGTAATAGTGACCAGAAGGATTATATAGGATTATATTAGGGCCCTATTATACTCCTATTATACCACTGTTACAGGGTGGGGGCAGCTTCTAATGTTTAGGGTTTAGGGGCTTAGGGGGTGGGGTTGCTTTCGGGCACAGGCTTAACTCTGCTTCACCCGTCTGGAAAAGTAAGTCCACATCCTGCGCCCACACACCGAACGCCCTAATATCACCGTGTCTCATTCGGCCTGTGCTGTTTGCCCGGACAAAGAATGCACAGATCGGTTAAGACACTATAGATGCCTGACCAACTAGTATGTAATGCTAGTCTTTAGGGTTCCCTGTAGTGATGATATGATAGTATGCATTTATGATCATATATGTATACACGCAAACCCCAGAGCACTGTTTTGGTTCTTAAGCGTAATGGGTTACCACTCGGCAAGTTAAGGCCTATCGCTCTGGCGATTTCCGGAAAGGACGCCATGCTTCCCTAAATACACAAAACCCTTTTTGGGGGTTTCCGAAAATTTGGGGTACCTTATTTGGGGGGGTCCTTACAATAAGGATCCTACTATTTATGGTACTATATTAGGGTACCCTAACTGTTTTCGGAACCCCCGCCCCCCCACATCTTCAATTTTAAACCCTATACCAAACTTCCCCTCACACTGCCTGTCTGCGATCCCCATCCTTGAGCCTGAAACCTGAGACTCCACGGGGCGGTCAAAACGAAAATTAAACCCTAGGCCTCAAACCCTTACCTAGCCCTAAGCAGTAGCCTAACACTCCTAAGAGGGTCTTGGGCTTTCTTGGGGAGGGTTTTGGGGGCCAGGTTTTGGGTCGGGGATCTCACTACAAGCCTTAGGGTAAACTGTAAAACCTACCCAGACCTTCCAATATCCCAAAAAAGGAATATTCCCTCAATCATACTGGGGATCTTACTATTATTCAAGGTAGAATATATTGGAGCCCCCCTAAAGATAATTGAAAGATCCCTGAAAGGAACCCTTTAAAGGGATCTCTGAGTCTCTTTGAACCTAAGCGCGGGTCTGAGGACCGAAGATGACGGGCCTCGAAGTGGCCCGGGCGGCTCCCATGGCCGAGCGCCTTGAGGCGTTCTCGCTGCGTGTGGTTTAGGGTTTTAGGGTTTAGGATTTTGGAGAGTATATGATTATTGGGTGTTAGGACCCTTGGGGACACAATGTGTCTATGGCAATAAGGACGTGTTGAGCTTCGGTTTAGGGTTTAGGATTTCTGAATGACTGATTTCGGTTGTAGAGTTTGGGTCGGGGCCCATTTCGACATTTAAGCCCGCGCTGTTGCTTGGTGACTGTGAAGAAAAGCTCTCTTCAGGATGAATGCAATATATGCCCCAATAGTTCAGGCCTTACGGTTGGCCGTTCGTTCCCTTGTACTTCCATTTTTCTTCTGGGACCTACACACTATATCAGTAGCAGAAGCAGTAACAGCTGTTCGCGCTTGTGTCTCCGTGTGAGCCAGGGATTGCTGGCCGCTGTGGTTGCGGGTGCCCTGGCTCATCCTCCGGAATCCTCAAAACGGAAGCAGCAGCTGCTGCCGCGACATTGATTTCCAAGTCCGCTTGCAAAATGTGGCGATATTTTTGCCACTGCTCAGGTAACTAATTACTGCTGCAGTTCCTAGTACTCCTACACTTACTCTTACTTCTCCTACTGCTCCTACGCCCACCCTTACTCCTATTTGTGCTGCTACTTCTATTCCTACGTTCCTCGTCCTGTTGCTACTGCTGCCCGTACTAAGACTCCTGCTCCTGCTCCTACTCTTCCTGCTGCTTCTACCCCAAATCCCACTCTTACTCTGACTCCAGCTCCTACTCCTGCTTCGAGTGTGGTTCCTACAACGACGACGACTACTACTGCTACTAAGACTTCTTCGTCTACTTCTACTACTGCGACGACCCCTAAGGCTCCATGTATCCATTTTGTTTATACTTAGGCCTTAAAAGTACCTGTATACGGAGCCCTCTAAGGCTTGAGTATCTACTATAAAGGTACATGGAGCCTTTTGGTACAAACAACAACAGTTGTGACAGCATAGACTGAGGTATTCTCCAAGCAGTGGACCAGGCACGGAACCGTCCTTTTCAGATTCCCTCACCATGGGTGAGAGAGAGGGCGGGCCGTTTCTGAGAGGCTTAGGGGGTTCCCTGATCCTCCAAGTAGGTTTTAATGTTTTGGTAGAGTTTAGGCTTACGGTTTCAGGGTTTGGGAGGGCTTAGGGTTTTTGTGCCCAAGCAGCCTACGTCTGTTAAGGTTCTTGTGTGCGACCTCCTGCATACCTGACCTCCTCGTACATACCTTTCAATAGAGGTTTTTCAGTGCCACCAGGTGGGGTGCGTAGCCAAGCCTGCAAGCCCAGCTGTGGCTTGGCCTGGCTGCAACGCCACGATCGATCTTACCGCTTTGCAAAGGCATGCCTGTCTATCTGACGGAACACGTCAACCGGAAGCGTCCGTTGCTCAAAGGCCGCGGTGGTAAAGTCGTCAGTTGGAAACAAGCGAGTCAGCGACGCGAAAGCGTAAATGATGTCGCCACAGTCTGGAACGAACTCCCAGAAGTGGTGTATGTACATTTCCCGAAGGGACGCTGGCACTTCAAAGGCCTCAAGGCTGGAGTGTATCCAGTCACACTTTATAGCAAGACATGGGAGTTTCCGAAAATAGGGTACCCTAATATAGTACCCTAAATAATAGGATCCTTATTACAAGGACCCGTAAATATGGTACCCCTATTTTCGGAAACTCCCACATGGTTCCTTGACCGGAAACGCAAGGCCAAAAGCCAACTGGTTTCTTGTCTCGATACTCCAGGTATGCAGGGCTTCTAGGCAGTTCCTATGGTATAGTTACATTGGGTTTTAAAGTGGCTACTCAACAGGCAACTGTGTTTTCAGAGTCCTTGGGCCTCAAACCCTCAATCCTACACCCTGAGCCCCAAGACCCAACAAAAACCCTAAAGCATCTCAACGCCCCCGAATGCAGAAGACTGAACACTTCGTTTTTGATACCGCTTAGAAACATCGTATAATATTCCACAGTAAACTCTTCTAGTTGTCCAGGACCCTGAACCCTAAACCCCGATATACCCCTAACCGAAACACTAATCTAAACTCTAAACCCCTTATGCCCGACCGCTTAACCCCAAACCCCTGAACCCTAAGCCCAAAGCACGTTACCCCAAGCCTTACAGGGTAACCTAACCGCGAAGGGTCCAACGAACACAAACATTAGGTACTTGGGCTGAGAATTTTTTTTGTAGCTAGTATGCGGGAGAGTAATCATGTGCCGACCCCGAGGCTCCAAAGTAACTCCACTATGGGGTTCATATGTAGAACCCTGTAAGAGTCCTGTAAGGTACTCCCGAAAAGGAACTGCTATGGAGCCTATGGGTATACTGACGTGAAATTGCCTGGTAACTCAAACTAAGGCGTCCCATGGCCCTCCAAGTATCCTTAAAACTCGAAAACTTTAAGCCCTGAACCCCTAAAGCCCAAAAACCCACGATCACTTCGCACCCTGCACACAAAGCCCTAACTCCCTAAAAGCCTAAGAACCCAATCGTCACACAACGATGCACTCGAAAAGACACAGTCGCAAGATACTTCCGTTAAACCCGAAACCCTAAAGCCTAACTTCGTTGCCTGGAGGGCTGCTTTTGGGGACCGGGCTACGAGGTGCCACGCTGGGTGCCACCTGTCCGGAATTTCCCTCAGGGTCCAAAGGACCCAACAAATAGGGTTAGGGGTAAATGTCTTAGGGTAGAGGGTTTAGTGCAATAATAAGAGTTCCCAGAAGGTTCCTAGAAGGTTCTATAAGGGGTTGTTATTGGGATTACAGTGGGGTTTTAAGGTGCAAAGGACCCAATAACTAGGTAGTCGGTTTTCGGATCGCCGTTATGCAGGTTAGGATTTGGGAGATTATAGGATTATTAGGTACTTGGACCCTTGGGGTTTGCTAGGTGAGCCGGTCTTACAGGGTTCCTGCTCGCTTTATGTAGGGGTTCGGGGGTTAGGGTTTAGGGGTTTAGGGGTTTAGGGTTCAGGGGTTTAGGGGGTTTAGGATTTAGGGTCTAGGGCCAGGAGGGTTACTGTTCATGATATAAACAAATCCTGCATTACCTTAAGGACCCTAAACTATGGGAATTATGGTATTTTCTTATTATGGCCAGTGCAGGATGTATATCATCAACCTACTGAAGAGTTCCTGTAACATGGAGGATGCTGCCGATATAGGGTTTAGGGTCAAGGTTTTTGGTTGAGGGGGGCGGGTGCAGCTCAGGGTGTTTTAGGGTTTGGGGCATTCGGCTTTGCGATTCAAGACAGATGTTTCAGGGCCTTGCCCCCTAAACCCTGAACCCCTAAACCCTAAACCCTGAACCCCTAAGCCGAAACCCCCAAGTTGGGTGGCTTTGCTGGTACTTGAGGGGTGGTGCCGGGAAGGTCAGGATCTTAGCAACTGGTACGTCATAAGTGGAGTTTACGAGTATCCTAACTGTGTTTATCCTCCTAGTGGTACCGGTACCTTTCTACCTAAAGACAATTTCGGGTACCTGATGCTTGCTTAAGCTTTTGGGTTAAGCTCTCTATGATTTCAGGTATCCATTGCATACTCAAACCCTAAGCCCTAAACCCTAAACCCGCAGCCCTAAGCACTGGATATTGCAGCATGCGGAAGCTGAGGAAGATCCAAGGGGTGCCGTCCCCGATGCCAGGGGCCTAGCATCACCGCTCATTTCCTGCCCAGAGACTCCCATATCCCTTAATCAAGGAATATACCTTAGCCTTTACATTCTAGTAGGATCCCGATTATGCTTTACGGCATATTCCATAATTAAGGGATGTTGGAGTCTCTGAGTACTTAGTCATTCGGTGCTCTTCTAGCTAGAAGAAGGGCTTGATCGGGGTGTGCACGGCTGCTGTAAAGGCCTTATGGCTTATGGTTTGAGGTTCAAGGTTTCTGAACGTGCGCTCAACAAGGTTGGGGCTTTCTTTACCGATTCCTTGAAGGGTGCAAGAGTTCAGAATGTCGGTTTTGATAGACTCTTCATGGTGGCAACCTTGTGGCCAGTGTGAAGGCGAACTAGAGACCGGCGCGCCACCGCCGCCAGCATGGCCAGCACCATGGCCATGATCACCGTCATCGGAAGTAGCAGCATGATCTACGCCATCATGATTAACATCATAGCCATGTTCATGATCCTTGTGGTTACGAGTTTTCGTTTTGCCAAACATAGCAAACGAAACAGATCATGGTCAGGCTGACGCTGATGATGGCAAACAAGCATATTGTATAAGATGGTTATGAAGAAGACTATGATACTGTTAAGTGTTCTCATGGCTAACCTGATGAGCTGGCATGCATCTGATCGTGATCTTGATCATCAGCATCATCATCATGATGCCACTGGTCACGAAGATGGTTTTGTTTCACGAAGACATTATGCCCCAGATGGCGCGCCTTTTCGTGATAACAGTAGTGATAATGTCAACAGCTTACGACAGTGCTGATGATTTAAATCCTGCATTGCCCATAATAAGGAATATACCATAATTCCCATAGTTTAGGGTCCTTAAAGTAATGCAGGGTTTATATCATCAACAGCAGTTCATAATGCTCCAGCGACCTCCAGTTGCCTGCTTCAAATGGGAGTTTCCGAAAATGAGGGGTACCTAATTTTGGGGACCTTATAATAAGGATCCTACTATTTAGGGTACTATATGAGGGTCCCTCATTTTCGGAAACTCCCAAATCAAGGCATGGCTTCAGTCGTGTTTCGCCTTGAAGGTTTACCTGAGGCTAGGAGCCAAGACTCAGATTCGACTTCTGTAGAAGGTCACTTTCCATGTTGCACCCTGACTGTCTGAGGAATGGGCTGCGTGGTTATGTCCAAGAGGTGTTCGACAGGCGATGTAGGATTTGTAGCTTCGTGTTTGCTGCGTTGAACTGATGCTTGTGTAAGTTTTATCGTCCAAGTTAAATGACGAACAACCGGGCTAGCCGCAAACTCTTGACAGCATTAGACACAGCTATAGCTGAATCACATGACTACCGAAGAGTAGCAATCCCTAAGGGTCCAAGTACCCAAATAGTAGGGTTTCAAGGTCCAAAAACCATTCAGAGTATGGACTTGGGACCTAAAGCCCCACTATTACCCTAAGCCCTAAACCCTGGGACCCTCTTACCCTAAACCCCAAAGCCTGGGACCCTTCGGGAATGGCAAGGTCGCGGCTGGTGCTGCTACCCAGCATCCAGAGGGCGACTCCCTTGGAGGCTTTCCAAGCATCGCCTTGCGTTTAAAAGTTTAGGGGCTTACCCTAAGGGTCCAGGTATCTCCTTAGGAGGGTCCGGAATCTCCTAGGGCAAGTGTTTGGGTTTTTTGGGGGTCTCAGAAACCCTACATTTTGAGATTCCCCAATTTGTTAGGACCTTTAGGGTAGGGTTTGGGGATTGGGATTCAGGGGCTTAGGTGTTTAGGGTCTTGGGACTTGGGGTTAATAAGGATTTAGAGGTCTGGGCTGTGTGCGTTTAGATGTGTTTAGGGGTTTAGGGCACAGGGTTCAGGAGCAGGTAGTTTTGCTAACCAGTTTTATGGTTAGGATCCTACAAAGTTTTTGGGTGAACCAAAAAAAGGAACTACGATGGAGACTATAGGTAGGTTTTAGAACTTATTATGAAATCAGGAGCCTAAAACGGTAAAAAAAAATATAAACCATAAGCGCTTACTGAACAGCCTAGCAAACCCTCAGCCATAAGCATCGAGACCCGGGTCCTGAATCTGAACCCAGAAGCCCTCACTCCTGAATCTTATCCCTAAGGGTCCAAAGGACCCAATAATTATGTAGGTAGTTGAGTTTAGGATAGTAGTAAAGGCCTTTATTTTTGGGTTTCCATAGCTTTGTCATAGTTGAGTAACATTTTACATTTTTGTGAGTACTTAAACCCAATAAGGAATACAAAAATACATTTGTAATCCTATCCCAACCATGAACTAGTTACGGCAGAAGCCCAAAAGTTGAAAACCCAATGGACTCAATCCTTAGGAGTAATGTATAGGGAATCCCAGCGCTATTTGGCCTTAACCCGATTTCCAACTCTATGGGGTTTACTGTAACCCTAAGCCCGGGCTCCAGAATCCTAAGCTCCAACAGGAAGTGAATTTGCTGACCATGACTTATTGAAGATAATTAGTGATCTGAATGATCAATGTCCCGATACACGAATGCAGTAAACCCTAAACCCCTAAAGCCTAATCTCTAAACCCTAAACCTAAACCCCTAAAGCCTAAACCCTGTTTTGCGTACCCGATATTGACATAGCAGGTCGGGGCAGGTGGCTTGAAAGCTTCGGTGACTTGGCTGTGCGTGTAACTACAGTCTCCTTAAGAATACCTTTATGTTCGTTCTCAGAAAACCCAAGAGAACATTACACATATTTGTGTTATGGTTCCAATGGGGGCTATAGGTAAGGTTGTTGGCCGTAGTAGGGTGTAGGGTTTGATGGTAAATGCTTCGTGCAGGCTTTCAGTTTCAGGGTTATGTTTTTTTTCGCTGGGTTCGTTAATCTCAGGAAAAGAATGCGCATTGCCAGCCAGCCCTTAAGTTTAGGGTTTAAGGTTTGGGGTTAGGGTTTGGGTCTTACGTATTCGGTGGCATAAGTTACTCCCAAGTATCTCTTGGACCCTCAGAAACCTATTTAAGCCTACAGAACCTCTTTTAGAACGTTGTAATTGTAGAAGCCGAATCAGAAGCCCTGAATCCGAATCCTTGCTTGCAAAGGGTCATGACGTACTAAGTAAGGATATAAGTAGCTTAGTTGTCAGTACTGTTGTTACCTTGTTCATGGCCCTAGGTACTACCCTTGTAGCTCCCTGTAAGGAACCCTAGTTACTAAGCCCCGTAAACCTTAAACCCTAAACCCTAAATCGCCCTGAACCCTAAACCCTAAATCCTAAACCCTACACCCTAAACCCTAGACCCTAAACAAAATCCTTTAAGTAGGTCCTTTTCCGACGTTGAGGGTTGCAGGTTTAGGACTCCAGGGGTTGTTAGCCTCAAGTCCTTAAGCCACAAGCCCTCTCGGTTTAGGGCTTCGCCGGGTTTGATAATGTGTACGCGCATGGAGTTAAGGTTTCAAGGCTTGAGGCCTAAGGGCTTGAGTTTAGGGCGTTGAGGGCTTCGCGGATAAGGGTTTGAAGGCGTAGGAATTGGGTTTCAGGCTGTGTGGCGACGTGGGGGGCAAAGAGGTTGCGAATGTCGGGTCTGACAAGCGTGTCAGGAAAGACGCATGCTCACGGTTTGTTGCATAGGCTAGTCGAGAAACCAAAGGAGCTCTCGACTTGCATGGCTATGGCCCTGCGCATACCTGTAGAGACTTTGGCAGGTGTCACCTGTCGTGGCATTATCTTTGTTGAAGATGTTGAGAGCTACTCATAACAGCTACTGTACTGAAGTATCAACATTTTTTCCGACCACACCCCCTGAACCGGCACTTTGAATGGCGGAGCTTGTGACGTCTGTGCCTCACTTGGATCACCATGGGACCAATACCACCCTTCCGCCAAGTATGGCTTTAAAGTGGTCAGAACTCTAAGCCCAAAGTCTGCAACACTGAAGTTGCATGGTTTGTGTTGCTCGTTGGGGTTTCGAGTTCGTTTTTGCAGTAGACGTGGGAACTTGCGTTAGGGTGCCACTGAATTCCTGTTTAGGAACACAAGTCAACTTGACACATTCGGGAACGCCTACCATCTGAAAAAAACATGTTATATCAGTTACTGCGAACTGGTCAACTTAGACTACGTTAAATTACTTAACAAGAATCCAGGAGAAGACAGCTCATCAAACCCTAAACCCTATAATCCTAAACAAATCAAGGACCTGCTGGCAGTGGATGTGGCTGCCGAAGCAGCTTTGCGGGAGGCAGCGTGCAGTGTGTTTGATGCAAGCGCCCCAACATCGGTTTAGGGTTTCGGGTTTAGGGTTTAGGTTGGAATTCAGGGTTTGGGTCTAGGATGTTGGCTTTCTGGGGCTCGGGATTTTAGGGTTGAGCTTGCTTCAACATCCAGCAAACTGCGCATTTGTGCCTCCATCTGACTATGGTGTATGTGCGTGAGCACCGGGGCACTGCGACATTTAGTGTTTCAGGCTTGGGGATCTCCTCAGGAGGGTCCAGAATCTCCTGGGGAGAGTCCTTGGGTCTCTCTGGGGCCTCAGAAACCCTCAATTTTGAGGTTCCCCAATTTGTTAGGAACCTTAGGGTAAACCCTTAAACCCTAAACCCCTAAACCCTACCAGGACCCCCGAAGGGCCCTTTAAATGGAATCCTTATGGCCCTTAATGGTGGATAGGTTTTCGGGCTTGTTCTTGGGGGTTCGGCCTGTTAGTAGGTCTTGGAGGTTGGCATCGTTGAAGCGTCGAGTCAAGACCAACAGTAGTATCAGTCTGCCCATGTGTCTGTTCCTTTTGCATGTACCTTAAGGACCAAATGGCCCGTAAATGTAAATATAAGAGCCCATCCTTACCCTTATACTACGAATCCCGATATCGCAATTGAGCCCTAAACTCAAACCCTTATAGCCTTGTACTACGAATCCCTATGTGTTAATCGGGCCTTGCACTTAAACCCTCTTAGAGTACGTCTTTAAGGTATGGCAGTCGCGACACCTTCACCTCAGCAATAACCCCAAACTTCGAGTCCCATACCTCTACACCATGGTTCGATGCCGCATAGGCTGACTAACCACTATGGGCTATTCGACCCTAAAGATCCCTATTAGGACCCTATTAAGGGTATAAGGTGCCCATAAGGTCTAATAGCCCATAGTGGAATAGAAGCCTGATAATGCATGGACCATCTCGCGCCAAATTCTTAGAAACCCGCTCGCAGAGCTTATATAAAACCTTTCAGGGGCCTTTTGAAAGGACCCCACTCTACACCCTTTCAAGGAACCCTCAAAGGAGCCGTGAAAGTTGAAAGGAGCCTTACAAGGAACCCTTAAAAAGAGCCCCCATCGCAACCTTACAGGAGCCCGTACATAGATCCCTTAAAGGAACTCTTACAGACCTCTCAAGGAACCTTTTAAAGGAGCCCTCATAGATCCCTGAAAGGAGCCCTGTAAAGGGCCCAGCACTCTAAACCCTCAACCATAACCCCTAAACCATAATCCCGACGGCTTGACCAGCAGCTGCGCCAGTCTTAACGGGTCATGTGAACATGACAGGGTCGCTAGTGTCCTTTTCTTGAACTGGATTTTGTTTTGGGTCTTGTGCACAGGACTTGTTTTAACTAGCATGGGAGATGCACCTGTGGAATCGACTGCTCTTGATGCGCACTTGCCATTCTGCATCAGATCGAGCCATCCGACGTCTTTCAGACCAACGTGGGAGACAATCAAAGATCCCGCGAGCCTGGACTTTCACTTACCTGCTGCCAGAGACCCATTACCGTTGGTGGCTGATTCCCAAGCTGCAGAGCCGGCCTCAGGATCCACCGGCATGACCAGGCGGCCGCCAATTTCGGGAGACTCCCCTTTGAAAATCAGTAAACATTGGCACGGGATTATTAAAGGACTCCATTAGCCCTTAAAGGATCCCCAGTAACTTATTGGCTGTAAACTCAACTTTTCAATCTTGGGGTTCTTATAAGCTAACCAATTCTGAAAGTTTCAACTTTTATTTCCTTGGGTTTTGGGCCAGGGAGTTTCCGAATTTGGCGGGTACCTTATTTTGGGGCCCTTATGTTAAGGAGCCTACTGTTTGGGGTACTTTGTTAGGGTCCCCCTATGTTCGGAAACTCCCATTTTTTTTGAAATTGTTGGCCTCTTGGAACTGAAAACTGAAGGGCAGAGCCCCAATCACAGGCGAAGCCAAAGGTCGGCTTGGTGCGCTTCAGCGCGAGGCGCTTGCCCGGCCTCAGGCCGGAAAGCCTTCTCAAGGGTCCTACTTAAAGCGACTTAGGGATTTGCTCTTAGTGGCTGTAAAATCAACTTTTCAACTTTTTGGCGCTGTTAAAAGGTAGTCGATTCTGAAAGTTTCAGGGTTTATTTCCTTGGTTTTTGGGCCATTGAGTCAAAGGAATTTAGGGATTTAGGGGTTTAGGTTTGGGGTTTCGGGTGTATGTAGGTTTTAGGGTACAGGCTTTAGGTTTTGGGGTTCAGGGTTTAGGGGTTTAAAGGTGTGGGGTTGAGGGTTCAGGGATTAGGGTTCAGGGTTCTGTTTTGGAGCGGTTTGGGACTTTAGGGTTTAGGGATTAAGGTAGGTGGGTGGTTGTCAAAATTAGGGTCCCTTCTTGGGTACCCTAAACAATAGGTGCCGTATTATAATAGGGACCCAAAAAGGGACCATAATTTTGACAAGCACCCAGCTTAGGATCTTTTGGGTTTTGCCGAGGGTTCCATAGGACTAGGAGCTTCCGGCTTTCCCAAGCTTTTCCCCCGCCGTACTTTTGAGGGGTTCCCTATCGCAGTTTGATACTACTGTTTGATGGACAAAATCCTGCACTACCCCTTATAAGGAATATACCATAGTTCCCATAGTTTAGGGTCCTTAAGGTCATGCAGGATTTTGTCCATCAACACTATTATATACTACCCTCAGGGTCCAAGTACCCAAATAGCAGGGTTTCACGGTCTACAAACCATTCAGAGTATGGATTTTGGGACCTCCCGACTAATTGGGTACTTGGACCCTCTGGGCTAGGTTGAGGGTTCAGGGTCCAATGTGTTAGGGAGTCCAATGTGTTAGGGAGAGTCCTTGGGTCTCTTTCAAATCTCAGAACCCCCCAATGTTGAGGTTCCCCAATTTGTTAGGACCCTTAGGGCATTATGTACTTCAAACTTCCCTAAAGTCCCTGTTGCAGTTATTGAGGCTTTCAGATCCCTATGCCAGGGTTTTGTGTTCGGAGTCCTGCTCTACGGGTTAAAGTGCGAGAGAACTCGACGTAAATCACCTTTTAGCATGCCACTGTAACCTAGAACCCTTAAATTCCAACAGGCCACCCACATTCTATGCCCCAAAGGCCTTTAAACCTTGAAACATAAAACCCTGCAACCTCTGGAACCTTAATTCCCCCTAAACCCTGAACCTTTACCCTTTGTCATAGTTGGGTAACATTTTACATTTTTATGGGTACTTAAGCCCAATAAGGAATGAAAGTTTATTTTTTTACTCCTATCCCAACCATGAACTACAGTACTCTACACCGTAAAGCCTAAGTCTTGACCTTGACCCCAAACCCTAAACCCTAAAAATCCTAAACCCTTCCCAAACAATCGTGTGCCAATTGGCATCGATTTGTAATTTTGTTGGGAGCCGCGCGGGCAGACAGACAAAGGAACGTCACCCCAACTGTAAAAAAAATATTAAACCCTAAGCCGTAATCCTAGAAGTCTTGACCTTGATCCTAAGAAGACCCAGGCGACTCGACCTCACGGATCCGCTTCTGTTTCGCAGCAGCTACTGCAAGGCCTTCCCTTTGGGGTTTCAAAATATGTTTGAGGAGATGTGGATTTTATTTGTTAGTTTTATAGAATCTATCTACTTTTTATTTTTATAAAATCATTATATTTACTTTTTAGTTTTATAAAATCATTATAGTCTAAGGGTTCTGTGATTTTGGCGTTTAGGGTTTAGGGGCTCTCAGGGTCGGGGCTTATTGGCATTTAGGGTTTTGGGGTTCTGGGTTTTGGCGTTTAGGGTTTAGGGGCCTATAGATTTGTGTGTTGTGGGGTTTCCCGTACGGGGTGCAAGGTCTTACAAGGGTTGCGTAAATATGAAGGAGTTCAAAAAGGAGGCGTACAAGGGGTGTTGTGGGTCCACAGGATCTATTATTTGGGTACTTGGGTTTGTTTAGGTACAGTACAGGATTACGAGCTTAGTGCTATGTGTGCTTCTGGGGAATTCACATACATCTACAACAGCGTCTGCGGGAACTTGCGGTTTAGGGTCGCGGGTGGTTGGGCCGTGTAGTCGATGCCAGAAGATGGAACACCTTAGTAGCTGAGTGGATACACTTTCACACTTTGGGATAAGATCACGCACTATCTAGGATGCCCAGTAGTACCCTTATTCCTTTTTTGTAGTCCTAGGTTCCTTATAAAGTTACCCAATACCAAAAAGAGAGGCCTTTTTGTTCTTAGGTTACTGGGTATCCTAGAAAACGAAAAGTGTAGACTTTCTTGGAGAATATGAACTCAGCAACTAAGACCACTGACATCCTCCAACCCCAACCCGCAGGTTCAGGGGTTTAGGGGTTTAGGGATGCCTTCTACACGGTTTAGAGTTTAGGGTTTACAGTAGAAGCCGAAGAGTTGGAAACCCCATAGCCTCAATCCTTAAGAGTAATGCATAGGGAACCCCAGCACTATTTGTCCTTAATTCAGTTTCCAACTTTATGGGGTTTACTGTAGGGGTTTAGGGTTCAGGGTTCAGGGGTGCAACTGCGGCCTCCACTACAATTACAAATCCTATGCGACGCACGAAGCGTAAGTTTCAGCCCAAAGTACTTCCGTAAGCCCTGCATGTCTCCAAGGTCCTACATGTCTCAAACGTTTAGGGAATGAGGGTTTAATCGAATTATTTCGAAAGTCGACGGAGGGATTCGCATTCCGGACCTTCGATCTGTAGGGTGGCCGCTGCTCAAACATGACCCAGACTTATTGGCTGTATACTCAACTTTTCAACTTTTGGGATTCTTATAAGGTAGTCGATTCTGAAAGTATCAACTTTTATTTCCTTGGGTTTTGGGCCAGTGAGAACATGACCCAGACTGCCCGACTGCTGATGGACGAGGTCCTGTAATGCTTAAGTGCTCGAAGCTATGGATGCTCTGGTAACTTCGCAGGGATCTACACACCATAGGGGCCTGCCTTAATAATTTACCTATACTATTTTGGTGGTTCCGTAATATACTTAAATTATATTGGGCCCCAAACCCTTTTCTCATTATTAAGGCCCCTATATTAGACTAGTATGTCAGCTTGCAACTACGGCACTCGATGATTGGGACTGGAGCTTGAAATTGTTTAGCTCAGAGGGGAACAGGACGGACCCTTAATGGGCACCCCTGCCCTATAATGGGCTATATAATGGGTATATAATAGCTATATTAATGGTATATACCTAGGGGTCCTTATTAAGGGTCCCTCCTTTTCCCCTTTGATTAGCCTGCTGGAGAGCATGTGTTATCAGCTGTTATCTCAGGTACTGGGGTGGAAGTTAATTCAACGAGGCTCATAACCTACCCTTTTTTAGGATACCCAGTTTTATGGTGAGGATCTGTTATCTTAAAAGTAAGCGCCCTAAGAAAGGGGGTAGGGTATGAGCCTCCAGGAATTCTGCAAAACCTAAGCCCCTTAAACCACGAGACTCTGGGTCCCTCAAACATAAACCCCAAACCCCGCAACTCGAAGCTCCTAAAGGGAACTCCAGAAAGTTGGTATATGGATTAATGGTAGGATCCCCTATATTTTACCTTAAAGGGGTTACGATACTGATATTCCAACTTTCTGGCTTCTACTGTAAATCCTTCAACTCTACCTATAGTCTCCATTGTAGTTCCTTTCTTTGGTTAACCATTTTTGTGGTTAGGATCCTATGATAGAGTTCTTGGCTAGCCAAAGTAAGGAACCACAATGGAGACTATAGGTAAACCCTAAACCCCGAAACTCTAATCTCTTACTCCTTGAAGTCTAAACCCTAAACCCTACAACCCGAAGCCCTTGAAAGGCACTCATGGAGATGGAAAGGCAGCTCCATGCACCACTGCCGACTCTAGAGGCTGTCTGCTCTCTTTAGGGTTTCGGGAGTCGGGTCGAAAGTTTAGGGGTCAGGGATTAAGCGTATTAGGGTTCAGGGTGTAGGGATTAGGGTTTAGGGTTTAAGGGTTCAGGTTCTAGGGATTTAGGGTTTAGGGTTTAGGGGTCAGGGATTGGGGTTTAGGGACTGAGGAAGGTAGTGCTTTGGTGATTAAGAAATGCCGTTGTTATCTTCACAGTGGTAGTATGTTTAACATGCATATGTGTGTGTATATATATATATATACATACACATACAGGTGTACACATATGCACACGTAGCACAGGACCCTCGTCTAGTAATCCTTAATAAAAGGCGGTTGTTGTAGGTTAATGGTACTTGGACCCTCCGGGTTTGTAATAGTCGAAGAGGTCCGGAGGCCCGGGCTGCTACTCTCCCGGAGCCGTCATGGGCCAATTTGTTTTCTGCCGATTTCCCTCAGCGTCGCGCTGCTGCCCCACGTGCGCCATGCACTGACCAGCTCCGCTTCGCAGTCTTTCGTGTCGTCTCGCGTCCCCCTTAAGTCTGAAAAGCGTGCTGACCTTGCCTCATGTTTAGCTCAAAGCGGCCCCTAGCAGGTTCCCTGCATGAGCTTCCCACATGCGAGGCTGTGCCCGAAGGGATCTGCTGCCTGCCTTGAGCCTTGTAATTTATGGTGTTTTGTGGCCCATGTAAAGCACACGGGCACTGCCGCCAGCTTCTTTTGCAAGCTTTTAGTCGGCGAGACTGGGTCTGAACAGCGCGTGGCTGCCACGCATGCCGTTCTCTTCAAGCCTTTTCAACACAGGGCAGCTACAGGCCTAGCGCAGGGTTTCGGTGTTAGGGTAAAGTCCGCCCTCAGCCATGAAAGCTCCACCTCTGCATTTTAAGCCCCGTGCTGCAAATCATGAAACCCGGTCACTGGATCAGGTGACCTGATATGGCAATAGGGCTACCCTGACAATCTACTTTGAATAGGTCCCTGTCCCGCTCTCAAACATGCCCTGCACCCCAACCGTGCACATGGAAAGCGACACCCTGAACCTTAAACCACCGTAATATAGGGGCTAAAAAATTTACCAATATTGTTGTGGTGCTTCCCTAGTATAATTATAGAATAATGGGCCCCGAAACCCTATTTATCAAGGCCCGTGTATTATAGAGCCCTACTATAGATCCCATATGGACCCCTCTGAGGAACCCTTTAAAGGAACCCTACTCAAATTATTCAGGCCCCCACATTAGTTGCATGTATCCTTTGGACCTGTTTTGTAGAATCCTCGCAGGCGGACGCTGTCGTTGCCACTTCGGTGACTTGACAGTCTCAGGTTAGGAGCTGCCCCCACCCTGTAATAGTGGTTTAATAGGAGTATAATAGGGCCCTAATATAATCCTATATAATCCTTATGGTCACTATTACAGGGTGGGGGCAGCTTCTAAGTCTCAGGGTTTCGGGTTCCGGTTGTTTGAGTTTTATTTGCTAGGATGCCCAGTAGTACCCTTATTCCTTTTTTGTAGTCCTAGGTTCCTTATAAAGTTACCCAATACCAAAAAGAGAGGCCTTTTTATTCTTAGGTTACTGGGTATCCTAGTTTGAGTTTTCGGGCTTGTAAGTTCAGGACCTTCTGTTACTTAGCAGCACTTGACTTTTTTCAGCAGCCATTACATTGCTATGCCTTTTTGGATCCTCCCAGCGGTCTGGGTTAGGGTTTATACATTCCAGTTTTCAAACGACAGGCCCTGCGAGATGTCTATTCAGTTCATTTACAGTTCATGCAAGCTTACGAGAAATAGGACTTGATTGACAATGTGCCTTTTGGTTAGGGCTAGGCATGTCCCTGTTGGGCTTCTGGATCGCTTTAGTCATGTGACAAAACGCTGAGGATGAAAACAGAAGATAGGTGCAAATCCAGACATGAGGCTTTCTCGGGGTTTGAAAACAAGGGCCATGCTAGGGTCAAAAGCGATGGCAGGACGACAGCGACGACGACACTTCCCACCACCACAACAACAACCACCACGAAGACGACTACTACTGCTGCTGCTGCTACTACTACTACTACTACTACTCCTGCTGCTAGTGTATCGTCCAGAGGAGTCTCAGTTTTGGCGTATCGCAGATCCTGAAAAACCTAAGCTACCCTAGTGGAATCGACCTCTACAGTCTTTGATCCCGTGTAGATCCCTTTAAGGAACCCTAGGTATTCCTTAATCTTAGTAGCTGAGTGGATACACTTCACACTTTTTGGGATAATATTGCCCACTATAAGACAGAAAGTAAAAGAAATAGGGGCTTATGAACTCAGCAACTACGCAATTAAGGGCTATTTGAGTTTTGGGTCGTTGAAATCAAAAAAAAACGAGGACGTATCGATCCTTCGGGGGCCAGTGGAAGCGGGTGCCCCGTGGACCGAAAATCAGCCGGCCAGGTGCGCTCCAGGGTTTCAGGGGATTTAGGGGTTTAGGGCTCGAGGCTTTCAGGGGTTTAGGGCTTTCAGGGGCTTAGGGCTTTCAGGGGTTTAGGGGTTTAGGGCTCCAGGGTTTCAGGGGCTTAGGGATTTAAGCGGTTTAGGGGCTTTGGGATTTAAGGGTTGACTTTGGGTTTTAGGGTTTTCGGGGCTTAGGGATTTAGGGCTTTAGGGGTTTTGGGCTTTAGGGATTTGGGGCTTTTAGGAGCTTTAGGGGTTTAGGGCTTAGGGCTTTGGGGGTTTAGGGTCTAGAGTTGTTGGGACTAATTAGGGTTCAGGGTTGAAGGGCTCAGGAACTTAGAGCTTACCCTAAGGGTCCAGGTATCTCCCCCTTGAGGGTCCGGAATCTCCTAGGGAGAGTCCTTGGGTCTCTTTGGGGTCCCAGAAATGTTACATTGTGAGGTTCCCCAATTTGGTAGGACCCTTACTGTAGGGGAGGGACTATAGAGCTGCGATGTCCAGGGTTTAGGGTGTAGGACCGGATTGAAGGTGGTGGGTTTCCTTACCCATAGGCTCCATAGTAGTTCCTTTGTGTTATTACGTTATCGGATTCTAAATATGAGCCCTTTAAAACGGAACTACTATGGAGCCTCTGGGTATAGCCTGCAAAGCCTCCTAAAGCAACCAAGACAACAAACCCTCAGAAGGTAGGCTGTTGGGGCTACAAGTAGGGTGTGGCGTTGGTGTTTGGTTTTCCTTGTAGCCCTTTAGTTGGGTTTTGGGTTCGGGGAGAGACTTCAAATCATAATGTTACGATTCTCTTTTTTGGTGACATATTCACTACTTACTTGGGGGTATTGGCTCTCTGGGAAGGTGGTTGAAGCCTCGAAGGCATGAGGCACAACTGCAAATGCAACTGGCCAGGTGGGTAGGGGTTTAGGGTTCACCCTGAGGTTACTGCACCCTTGTTGTGAGCCCTACGTTCTTTCTTAGGCCTACTTCAAAGCGATATAGGGGTTTAGGGTTTAGGGTTTACCCTAAGGGTCCTAACACATTGGGGAAGTGCCCAAAACCTAAACTACAGCCCCAAGCCCAAGAAAGCTATGAGCCCCGAATTCTGGGATTGGGGTTGAGTCGGGTTCAGGGTTGTCTACCCTAACAATCCTAACACATTGGGGAACCTCAAAATGTGGAATTTCTGGGACCCCAAGGAGACCCAAGGACTCTCCCTAGGAGATTCCGGACCCTCAAGGGGGAGATACCTCGACCCTTAGGGTAACCTCTAAGTTCCTGAGTAGTGCCCTTTTGCTCCTGATATTTTGGGGGTCTCCTTGTTAAAACAGAAACCCTAAACCCTAAACCGAAAAGTAAGAAAAAGGGTACCCTTATTATGGAGGGGCTACTTGGGAACCCTGACGTGTAAATAGACCGCGGACACCAAACTCCCAAACCCCAAACCTGATGGTGGATCCATAGGCCTAAACTTCGGGAAACTTAATACCATGATGGAATTCGGTCCCAAAACCACATCCTTGTTATGGTTTAGGAGACCTCATTTCCGTAATATTAGTACATACAAGCCTTCAACCCAAAACTCTCAGACCCTAAGCCTTCTTTCATGACATAATTATCATCTATACATATAGGTATATATATATATATATACACGCATATCAATATGCCTATATACATATATACCTATATAAACATATACACACATACCGATAATATATATATATATATATATATATATATATATATATACACATACATACATACATACACGCTCACATATACATGTATATATATATATATATATACATATATATATATATATATATGCATACCTAAATACAGCTATAGACCCTCTTCGAGAGCCTGGAAGGATCGAAGTTTTCTGGGCGCAGCTGGAGCGAAATCCGCATTTCGACGATCTCGGCTACTTGGACGAGGCTGTCTCGGAAAGGGCTGGGGAAGTCCTTTTAAGGGTAGCATCTCAATATTAGTGTCGTTGTGCGGAACTTGCGCCTAACGTGTGTGGGCTGGCTAGATACGATTTTTCCGCACTCAAGGTGGCGGAACAGAGAATCGATTGCGAAGGGGTTGCCTTTGATCTGCGCAGCTACACTGAGATTCTGTGACAAAGGAGTTGTCTTGGAGCTATGCAGACAAGTAAGTAAATTGGGAATGTGGAATATCGCTCGAGCTCTTCGAAATGGCTCAATTCTTGCTGGAGCCATTTTTCAATTCCTAGCTACTGAACCTATTCGCGCCAACTTTCGCCTGACCATGGCGCGATCCATCTGGCTAGGAATCTTCCTGGCGTGCGCGTGGGCAGACGAGAAGGATGCTCGGTTTCGGCAAATGATTTGTTTTGCTTGGGATTCTCATGCATTTTAGCTGAGTGGCTAGTGCCAACCAAGGATGCATCATGCATGCTGCAACAGCACGGCTCAGCGCAACGAAGCACCAAGCCGGCTTTTTTAGAAGGTCGTTCGTCACTAGCAGGGCTTCCGAGCAGCGCCACATGCAAGAAGAAGTTCACGGACGACAAGGTTTGCAAGACCACCAGCGGTGTAGATTGCCAGGTCTCTGAGTTGAACAATTTCGGCAAGTGCTGGTTCTCGGAAACGCACGGGTCGAACCCGTGCCTGCCAAAGCCAGTCGCAGGAACGTGGACCACGGCCAAGGTTGACTTCGGCTCAGGTGCTGGACATTGCATCAAGGTCCCACCAGGCATCTGCCCAGTACAGCTTCTGGGCCACGGATACCCAAAACCCTAAACCCTAAACCCCTAAACCCTAAACCCTAAACCCCTAAACCCAGTGAAAACATTTTCTGCTCTTTTGGAGGATTGGGGAAAGCGGGGCTTGTTTTGCAGCGTGCTGCAGCGGGCATCCTTAGGATTTGCGTCAAGAGCGGGAGCCCCAATAGTGCGGCTGGTCGAGCTTGCTACTCTGGGAAGCAGACATGTGGGATTTTCCCGGGCCTTCCAGCACTATCTGGCAAGGCGGATGGGGGTGGGGGGGGGGGGCCTGTGGGGCATGCAGTGCAGCCCTATCAGTAGATTGAGATCCAGTGTTACAGTGTTACGTTCACTGTTCAACCCCTAGGCTCCTTTATATGCCATCTGAATTTAAGTACACTTAGGAGTTTCCGAAAATTAGGGGTACCATATTTGGGGTCCTTGTAATAAGGATCCTACTATTTGGGGTACTATATTCGGGTCCCCCATTTTCGGAAACTCCCACTTACAAACTAAAGCTGAGGCCTATACGATTGCAGCGCTCTGCAATTCCCGCCCTGATACAACGGTATTGACAATAGCGGCAGTAACACTATTCCAATCATCTAGGCCACTGCAACGGGTCGCAGTATCCGCGGTCAGAACCGGGCACTACCCAGCATGAGAAACACCTCCCAGGTGGACGAGACCTTTTGCACGACGTGGACGGCTCCGAGCCTCTTCTGTGTGGTGAGTCTTGCAACCAACGCAAACAACCCAAACAACATCCAAGATCTGAGCAACTTTGCCATTCAGTTCGGCTGCTGCGATGGGAATCTCAGCTTCAGATTCGTCGGGAACACTGAACCCTAGACATCCCTAGACCCTAGACTTTTGGCAAAGTAGTCCTGCGGGCCCATGCTGTATTCCGCAACAGAGGAGTGGAGGTGTAGTGGGAGATCCGCACATCCATACCTTGGACGGAAACGAGTTCGACCTCTACGACAAAGGGACTTACTCGGTGTTCCACTATGGCGGTACTGGTGTCTGAGTTGCTCCAGAAGGCTGCATTTTCTCATTTCCGGCCCCAGCAGCAGTGCGGTTCAGGATTGCAGTTTCTTCAGTGTTCTTGATCATGTGTCCCACACTTCAGGCAGAGGTTCGCGATCTTGCAAGCTAGACATGCTTGAGGTGCAACAGACGAAAACCCTAAACCCTAAACCCGCCTCAATACCCAAGGTGACATCGATTGGCAACTCTACGCAACGTATGGAGGCCCGTCGCTTCCAGGACAATTCCCCATAAGTTGTACAACCTTCCGTACTTGGGACTTAGTAAGTAAGGGGCCCCTTAAAGGGATCTATAGGGTTCCTTAAAGGGGTCTTCAGGGTTTAGGGTTTAGGGTCTACTTTGAGGATCATGGGACTTAGTAAGTTAGGATATAAATACCATATTGGGGTTGTAAGTATAGTTACCCTAATTATAACTCTAGTTACTAAGTCCCATGATCCTTTAAGTAGGGTCTTGACTGGTCCCAAGCTCCACGGTGACGGAATCCTCCGAAAGTACGCCTCAATGCAGAGATCCCTGCAGCCCCGGCATGATCCCGGCCTGCAGAGGCCCGCTGTGGACAGTCCAAGGCTTGCTGTTGGTGGATCGATCCAAAGGTCGCTTCCGACAGGCAGTGGAAGGGTCAGAGAATCTTGGAGGGTCTGAGACGGTTTAGAGTTTAGGGTTTAGGGTCGACTATGAGCTTTGGGGTCCCTTGAGGCTATGGAGCTGACGTCAGAGGACTGCCAGTGGCGCAGCAAGACAGGGCATGCGTCGTGGTCAGTCATCGAGCGAAATGCACCTTGACCACGAAGTAGCATGTCAAAGCCGCGTCGGAACTACAAACCCCAAAGCAACCCGAAAACATGAACCGCCGTATGCAGCTGCGCAAGCAAGAGTGAGGCATCGCTGTCCTTGCTGGAAGGGGGCGAGTACGTGACGGCCTTCGAGTATGTCAACGAAAAGCACGTCAACCTTGGCATCAACACCCCTCACGGCAAGAAAGAAATTCTTGTCCTCAACACGGTGTGCATGAGTCTGGAGTGTAGTTTGGAATCAGCCTTGATTTTCTTTTAGTTCTTCTCAACAGTAACCACCAAGCGTCTTGTACAACCGGTGACGAAGTTTCCGTACGACGAGTTGTTTGATCAAGCTTCGTAAAACACCCACCTCAACATCGGCCTTAAGCCTTCCTGTAACCCCAAACCCTACAAAATAGTAGGTTATGACCCTCATTTTTTAGGTCTAAACCCTAAAACCGTAGGGTTTTCGGATCTCTAGGCTACAGTAGAAGCCAGAAAGTTGGAATATCATTATCGTAACCCCTTTAAGGTAAATTCTAGGGGATCCTACCATTAATCCATATTCCAACTTTCTGGAGTTCCCTGTAAGCTCCAGGTGCCCATTTAGTATATACTGAGGCTTTAAAATACCTATTTAGGGAGCCCTTGAAGCTTAAGTTAGGTTTTCGGATCTCTGGGCTAAGCCCTGTGGCCTCTTAGGAGCGGTGCTATCAACTTGCGGGTCTCCCCGCGCAAGGCCTTCGAAGCCAAGTTCCTGGGACCCAGAGTAGGCCCTTATTCCCTTTTTGAGGGTTTAGGGTTCAGGGTTTAGGGTTTAGGTAAACCCTTATAACACCCTTTTTCAACAAAAAGGGCATCCTTTTTATTCCTAGGTTACTCTTGGGTCTAGGTTCCTGACTGGCCAAATCCAAGCCGGCAATGCCAAAAGCCAGGACAGCTCCCCGGTTTAGGGTTTAGGGTTCAGGGTTTAGGGGTTTAGGGTTTAGGGTTTAGGCCCGGCTTATACCACTTTTTCAAGCTTTTGGAAGACATGTTTAGAATTCTGTGTGCTGTGAAAGAGACGTGCTGCGGGCATTTGCAGGAGAGGTTCCCAGTGGAGGAGAGCTGGCAATCGCTAGGTGCCAACTTCCAAAAAGACGTAACCTCAAATGGGAGTTTCCGAAAATAGGGGACCCTACTATGGGACCCTAAATAGTATAGGATCCTTATTATATACAAGGACCCCAAAATCAGGTACCCCTATTTTCGGAAACTCCAAAATAGTGTTTGCGGATTCTGTTCTTGGGCATCCCTTCTTCGCCCCCTCACGACTGAGCCTAGCGACAGGTGGGACCGACAGCGCCGCATCCTTCCTGAAGAAGAACCAAGAGGAGAGTTAACTTATCCGCATTGTCATGGTGTAAGCCTTTACGGTTTAGAGGTTTAGGGGTTTAGGGTTTAGGGTTTGTCTTGCTGTAAGCCCTTTTTGAAACCAGCAATGAAAGTGGTCTTGCAACCCACCGCCGCTGAGTCGCAAGCCCGGGAGGAGAAGCACCTGCTTGTGACCTCCTGCACTGGAGACGCCAAGACGAAAGCCGAGGACACCTGCGCGGAATATCTCGGCGAGGAGCCTCCCCCGAGCCATTTTTCTGCGCAGTGCATGAGGGCATCAGTGCTCGGTAGTTTCGACAACTCCGCATGCCGCGAAAGACCTGGCTTTGCCAGGTAGTATGCATAATCTCGTTTGTGTTACTTGAGGATGCCATCGTTTAGAGTTTAGAGCCCCATATCCTACGATGCGCTTGTGACGCTTGGTACTTCCTGCGCCATACTGCTGAGTGAATCATTCCGCATAGAGTCCTCTGAAGGCCTTAAGCTATGCTGTGCCACAATTACCCCTGCTGCAAACCATGTAGTGCATTAGGCCTCTGCATCACCCAACGCGCCCCTCAGCGAATCTTGAGTTCGTGGTCAGAGCAGCACGCCCCGCGTGGATAGGAGACGCGGGAGTCCGGGAGTTTTTTCGACGATTGCGTCTTCGATGTCTGCAGAGGAGGGGAGAAATTCGCAAAAGCAGCGGCAGAACTGCGCTCACTCATCTAGTTGCAACGGTTCAGCAGAACCCCCCAAGTACCCTTTAAAGGAGTATAATATTTCGCACAAAGAGGTAACTTGGGGCTACAATAAAGGGTAGTTGGGGGGTCTAGGCAGCCCTGTGGCATCCAGGGAAGTTTTTGGTCCGAAGCTGAAGGTCAGCCTGGACGATTTATGGCACGCGGCACTCGGGAAATCCCCGTTTCCATGCCCTTGTTTAGATGATGCTGTGACGTACGTTTTAAAGCAGGTCTTGCATGAATCTGCAAAGCAGCAAGATCCGCAAATGGGCCTGCAGTAGATCCTTGACGGTCAAAACGGCAAGAGTATGAGTTGCCGGCATGTGCTAGTAGGACAGGGCCATAGGAAGGGCAAACATAAGGACTGATAGTCCTCTGTGAGTTGGCTTTATTTGGGAGTGTCCGAAAATAGGGGTAACTTATTTTGGGGTCCTTATAATAAGGATCTTACTATTTAGGGTGCTATATTAGGGTCCCCTATTTTCGGAAACCACCGTTTGTCTCGGGTGTGAAGTAGGTGCTCGTTCTGCCCATAGCGGAAGCTTTTGCCTTTCCCTCGAATGATTCGTGCGAGCTTGTTGTTACCCTAAGGGTCCAAGCACCTAATAGTCATATACTCTCCTAAATATTGAGCCACATAACTACCATCCTAAACCCAAGTACCTAATTATTGGGTCCTTTGGACCCTTAGGGGGTTAGGTAACAGGTTTTCATGAAGCATGACGGGAATCCTGCCAGTGTGTGCAAGCCAAATTGTGTGCTCAGCTCCTTTTTGGTTCACATCGTTTTCCTGTGGATCCCAAAACCTACCGCTTGAAGGGTCAGACCCTCTAATTAAAGGGTCACTACTATTTTGTAGATGGGGATTCAGGCTTTGTACAAGGCCCTAACCCTAAACCCTACCTTAACCCTGAAGAACCTACCTTTTTCAGGACTTATATAAGTTATGTAAGGAAACCATAATAGGGAACCCTAAAAAGGTAGGTTATTCAGGGTTAAAGTAAACCCTAAGGAGCGCAAAATCGTTGTCCGAAGAGCTGCCTTCACACAGACCATCTGCAAATAGGTCCACCGAACATGGGGGTGCATTCTGCGTCACGAAACATCTTGGCATTCTTCTGGTTGGCTCTTAGGACTTTAACTTTTTGGGTTTCGAAATACGGACCATAATAAGGAGGCTAAGAGTTTAACTTTTCTGGAGGGGTTCAGAAGTCAGCCAAGACATAATCAGGTCTGCGTCTGAAGGAGTCACTCCAAGAGACGCAGAACATCAAGGAGGGTTCATTAAGGGTGCCTTTAGGGGTTTGCTGTCGGGGTTGCTTTAGGGGGTTCATTTCAGGGCTCCCTTAGGGGTTTCTAAGGGCTCCTGTTTAGGTTCCCTTAAGGGTTCCTTTAAGGGCTTCTTTAGGGTCCCTTGAAAGGGTTCCCTTGAAATTCTTGAGGTTCCTTTAAAGGGTTCCTTGAAGGGTTCCTTTGAGGGCTCCCTTAAAAGTTCCTTGAAAGGGCTCGGGTGATAGGCTTTTTGGGGCTTGCGTTGCGCATGGGACCGATGCCTTGACGCAGAAAAACTGAGGTCCATGCTTAATCCCTGAAAGGCCCTACCCCAACCCGCCTAAACCCTAAACGGCCTGCTCTGCCCTACCCTACCCTAAAAAAGCCCTGCAAAATCCAAAATCCTAAAGCCCATCCTAAAGCCTACTATAATTTTTTTTGATATGCATCAAGCCTCAACCCAATAAAGTCCAAACCTCAAACCCCCCATAAAACCCTCTTGGTTCTTGGAACCCTGCAGGCGTCTGAGGATGCCCTGGTGATGACACTCCGGCGATTGATGGCCCTGGCAAACAAGGAAGGCCTGTTTCATGGTTTTGTGAATTGCAAGGTTTTACCCTTGTAGTATAGAGTAGGGATGAGGGGGTACGGTTCTGGGTGTCAAACTTTGAAGTTTTGTTGGTTTACGGTCCCAGAACGGTCCACATATGATACGGGAAAGGGTTAGGGCTTGTAGGCATGGCATGGGCCTGGGGCCTACCTATAGTCTCCATCGTAGTTCCTTTTTTTGGTTATATAACCAAGTTCGTGGTTAGAAGCCTATAATAGAGTTTGTTGGTTAACCCCAACAAGGAATTGCAATGGAGACTATACGTGTATCTATTATATATGTTGGACTCAGGGATTTAGGGAGTGGGACAAATTGGGGTTGTTTGGGGTGCAGTTTTCGCCCTGAACCCTGAACCCCAAGCCCTAAACCGTAAACCCCCGGGGGCCGGGGCCGACCCAGGAAGACTAGGCGTTCTTCTGGTTGGCTCTTAGGAGTTTAACTTTTCGGGTTTCTATACAGACCAGAATAAGGAGGCTAAAAGTTCAACTTTTTGGAGGGGTTCAGAAGTCAGCCAAGTATTTATAGAGCGGTTTAGGAGTTACGGTTTAGGGTCCAGAGCTACGGTTTACGTACTCAGCATACTACGAGCAGCAATTGAAAGAGTTATGGCTAAAATGACAGCATACCGTAAAACGCCAAGTAGCCCAAAACAGGTTTTGTTCAGCCGTAGACCGCAGACTCCAAAGTACGGTTGATGATAGAAATCCTGCATTACCTTAAGGGCTCTAACCTATGGGAATTGTGGTATATTCCTTACTATGGGTCATGCAGGATTTATATCATCAACCGTATGTACCATTCTGCCTATTCGGAGTTCCAGAGATGGAGTCCTAAATCCTTAAACCTATAATAAGCCCTAAACTTCCAAGTCGGATAGATCCTGCTAGCTAGTGATAACCATCTGCAGCGGTGTATGTAGGTTGCAGAGCAATGTAGAAGCCCGCAACCTTAGGTAGAAAAACAGGACCAGCCCTTCAGCAAAACAAACATCAACAAACCTAAACCAAACAAACCTAAATGCCCAATTCTACAACCCTACTCAAACCGTACACATACCCTATTCGTAAAACCACCGATTTAAAAAGTAGCGGAACAAAAACTGCACTTCGTAAGCTCCTTTATCGAGGTGTTTCCGTGCTGGTCATTCCACCTCCGGGTGCAGGCCCCGTGGGCCTGAGGCTGTACTTTGGGGTTTCCTTACTTTGTCCTTGTTGGGTAACATTTTTCATTTTTATGGGTACTTAAACCCAATAAGGAATGAACGTTTTTTTTTGAAACCCTTAATTTTGAGGTTCCCCAATGTGTTAGGACCCTTACCCTAAGGCTCAAAATAGCACAAAAGCCTTTTGTAGTATGGTCTTTGGGCCCAAAAGCCTTCTAATATGAGTCCTTAGAGCCTTAGGGTAGGGGCTTAGGGTTTAGGGTACCCTGAGCCGTGGAGGAGATCCCAGTCCCCGAGACGATGCATCGATTTTTATCACCTGGCGTCCCAAGACCTAGGGTTCTATACTTGGAGGGTCCGGGGACTTACTAAGTTATTTTAGAGAGTTATAACTACCATAACCCCAATTAGGGTCCCTTTTAGGGTACTTATAACTCTACTTATTACTTATTACCTACTTACTAAGTCCCCCGACCCTCCAAGTCGGGTCCCTAAAAGGGATCCTTAAATAAGGTCTATATAAGGGCTAGTATAACGATATTAAAGTATAGAGGCCTCAATAATTACCGATATTGTTTTGGGTGTTCCTTGTTATAATCATAGAACAATGGGCTCTGAATCCTTATTCTGATTATTAAGGCCACGACAAGACCTCACAACACCAGAGCTGGAAACTTCATCAAGGTCGAGAATCTTGGCCATGGCCCAGGCATTGCTTGGATTCCCGGCCATGGGCAAAAAGCATCTAATGGATTACGTCCTGACATGTGAGAAGTTAGTGAACGAGTATGAGAAGACTTGAGGCACAAAGTATGACGACAGCCTCAAGACCGGTACGTTTTTAAGGGGCTAAAGCTCTAGCCGCATAGAACCTTGTAAAGCTTTTCTGGAATCCCAACAGCTCTTGAAGAAAAGGCTTTAAGGAATGAACTGCTCTCAGAAAGTCAGGAACCCATATGAAAGCCTTAGAACCCCAAATGAAGTGTAAGAAAAAGCATAAAGACGAGTTCTTTAACACCACAGGCACCCCTCTTAACGGAACCCTTATACAATCCCCTTAGCCCTAAACCCAAAACCCTTAAAGGATCCCTTAAAGGACCCCTCAAAGGATCCCTTTTTGAAGGATCCCTTTTGAAGGATCCCTTAAAGGCACCCGTAGATCCCTCAAAGGAGCCCTTAAAGGATCCCTGAAAGGCACCCCTGGTGGGGCCTGGGCTCCCTCCGCTGCTGCCGCCGAACGCCTCAGAGAAGCGGCCCTGGCATACGGCGGAGGCCGGAGTACTTCTCAGTTTAGGGTTAGGGCTTAAGGGGTTCAGGGGTTTAGGGTTTAAGGGGTTTAGGGCTTAAGGGGTTAAGGCTTGAGGGTTTAGGGGGTAGTTTAGGGTTAGAAGCATAATTTATTTAGAGTAGGGTTCCTTTCAGGGGGATCTACTCTGACTTTGGGGTTTAGGGTTGCTCTAAGGGTCTAGGGACCTACTTGTCGTGCACGCTCCAAAATAGTAACCTGCCTAACGACTATCCCAAAACCGAGCACCTAATCTACGGGTCCTTTGGAGCCCTATAGGGTTAGCAGCATTATTTTTTGAAAATAGTAGGGCTTCTTTACGGGGGCTTACAAGAAGGGTTACTATAAACTTGAATAATGGGAGAGCTTTAAGTTCTTGGTCTTATATATTTGGTCTATCTTAGAAGGTTCGAACTGTTTTTGGCTGGCTTTTGAAGAAGAGCGTCGCGTTTGTGTTAGGGTTTAGGACCTTGAGGTTTAAGGTTTTCGGATTTAGGGTTTAAGGCCCCAAACATAATGAGCTTTAGGGTCAGAATTTCGTCTGTATGACGGTGAACAAGCCAGCATGCACGGTTTGATCACCGTCCGGTGTCGCCCACGTACTTTCCAGCAGGATTTGGGTCGGCTGTCCCAAAGGCTCCATGTACCTTTATAGTAGAA